GTTTGCATGAAATTAATATCGCAGTATAGTTTAAAACAATACCTACAGCCTCTATTAACTAAACACAAATATTATCGCCAATTTATGACTTAAAAAACGAAATAAAGTGTGTCTGGCTACGTACGGCCTTTGTCACTGTGGCAGTCAACGTGTTAATAGTAGGTATTCATCATTAGAAGCATATCGACATTATACAGCTACTGTCGTGTTTTGTCACATTTTTAATGATAAAACTTCAGCAGCTGATTCATGAAGGATTCATAAATTTATAATGAAAAATAAGAAAATGTTGGTACTGCATTAGTAGTTGTCCTAAGACACATTCTGCAACATCGCATTGACGTTCTAAGTGAAAAGCTATCTAGTGCATCAATATTTAGAAGTGAATAGATTTCGTTAGTGTATTATTTTGTTGTATTTTGCATGTTTGCTTATCCTAAAAATTCATGAACCGTAGTCTATTAACGATAAAATCTTCACTTCTTCATGCTAATCAAAAAACTCTGAATTTTATAATTTATTGCGAGCGTAAATACGCTAACAACTGTAATAAAGTTCTTACTTAATTGTGAGCATAATGAAACTCTTAATAGAGAAAATATCTCTCTTCAATTTACATTTTTATAAGATAGTCTACAATTTCAATGAAACTTTCTTGCATTTTTACTTTGTTGTCGATCACATAAAAGCTCATACAGGGAAAATCTATTTACTTTCAATCTTTATTACTTATTCTAAAAAAAAAAGTGTGGATTTGTATAAACGTTCGCAACCTAATAATCATCTGCGATTCCGAACAATCAACGCTTTCAGAACTGAGTTTCACCAAAAAGTTAAGAAATACAAATCAACCAACGAAGCTGTAACACCGTTGAAATGAAGAGAGTGTAAAGAAGAGGAAGAAGAAGAATATGATGATGAAGAAGAAGATGAAAAAGACGAAGAAGAGGAGGAAGCGTCGTTCCATGACCGAACGTCGACAAAATGAAAGCCTGAAGCTTCACGTCCCGCGAACAATCTCATTTTGACTTTAATTATACACCCGGGACACGCTTAACATTGGCAAGGAGTGGAGAAAAGGAATATAAAAAAAAAACGGTCCACAGTTTTGCATCACACGACACGGCATCGGGGCACGCAAGCTCAGGTCTTCTCTCGTGGTCCTCTTAAGCGCCCCACCCCCCTCCCTCTTCCTCGCCCCTCTTCCCTGACGCGTCGTAATTTTCCTCTTTTAATGCGCGCAGATACACAGCGGGAGCAGGAAGAATCGAGCTTCCTATAATCATCGCTGAAAATGATACTCCGATACATAGTAATGATCGTGGATATTACGTGGAACTAACGAGCCAACTCAGGCTACGTCGGGACCGACTACGCGTGGTCGTTCCCTTCGTTCTTTGACACAGTTCCGGGAAACGACCAAATTATTGCGGACATTTACACTTCCAATCAGAGGGTAATGCTACGCGTCTGCGTGAGAACAACTCTCGAGAACAGAAGACATCAATGGATGTAGTGTTTAAAGCAACTCTGTGATAGCTTGTTTCCAAACAGTTGTCGGTGCTAATCCTGAGAGTCTTTAGAGTCTACTCTTAATACTAGATCTACCAAAGCAGTCAGAATACATAATAGGCTCGTAGACTTTTGTCAAAGTGGTTATAGTGTCACAAGTAACTGTGAATTTCATGAATATTTTCGCAACTTCTATTACAATATTATATTGGCAAAGAAATTAATTAACTTATAAATCTGCATAGTATCTTAAAACTATTATTCTTGTTGATTTCCTGGAAAGATGTATAGTACTATAATTGATGGTAGTTCCAGTGTTAAGAAGACACGAAGATTAAATTTTGCAGGAGCATCGATTCAAGTAGACACACCGCGTAAACCTTTAAAGAATTATCTATGTATTATGTAAACATTTATAAATAAATCTTGGGAAACTCTATTTTAATGTTAATGTGTAGCAAAAATCATCCAAAAGTCCAGTCTTAGAACGATACTAAGCATAAATCTCACAGTAATCTACTATGTAGTGAAAAATGTAGCATAAATCTTGGAAGAGTGTATTTCAAAGTGGAAAGAGCACAAAGCTCACAGAAATCTATTTTCAAATGAACACATTTCATATGAAAACAAATGCATTTACAGTTTCCATACGACTTAAGCCAGATTCACGCTAGCGGTCAAAGGTACGGTCGGATCACGATCAATCTAAATTTAGATTATATCTCCCTCGTTAAATTACGTGTGATTGATAAAGACCGCTGCCTGATTTGGCGTGATCGGACAGGACCGTAACCGCTAGTGTGAATCCGGCCTTAGCATTACAAGATTCTAAGCCTGAATAAACTTATTCAATTAATTTAAAAAAAAACTACATGTAATGAATTGAAACTTTTTTCTCAAGTTTTCGTAACAAGTAAGAAGCAGGGAAATAGAACTGAAATGAGAGTATACCTATCAACTGAAACAGCGTTGAAGTATGTTTAATTGTGTAATGCTAAAAAAATTACTCATTGAGAAAGGGTTGAATTTATATATTATAAAAGTGTTAGAAAAATCGACTAATGTTCTTTCTTTTTATAAAAAAAACTTTATAAAAACTATTATAAAAACTTTTTTTGATTTTAATAAACTGCTTTGTAATAGCACTGACCACGCATTGAATTCTGTGTACGAAGATAAAACCATTGAACCCAAAGGGTACGATGATCTGTCGAACGCAAGGAAGTCAATGATACTACCCTTCTTCCTAGCAGTTGTATCTACTCGCCGCTGACTGATCGAAGGACATTTAAATCCAGACACATAGATTCTTCAGAGGGTCCTGCGTATTCTTCAAAGCAGACTCCAGCGTATTATTTATCATAGACGGTGGCAAATGTCACGGTAGAAAACAAACAAAATCCCGTGGTTGTAACGAGAGAGATAAATCATTGACGACAGCGGACAGAAACGCGACGTCATACTCGCCGGGCTCTTTTTGCTAGATTGAGCTATCAGTTCGTTCGAATTGTTTCTCAGATAAAGAACTCAGTTCACACGAGATGTAAAACACAATCGATGTATCAACTACTTCTGTTTCATAATCGTTTGTTCGTTTTTCGGTACAAGTGATTCATTATATGTTGAAAAATAGACTAATATGATAATTTCGTAGATATTAATAAGTAGACTGTATATGTTTCTATTTATTAAACGTTCTAATAATCACTTCACTATTTTCTGCGAAATTTACAATAGGTAGTAATTATATCTAAGAAACCAAACATTTTGGTTGCTGCTGTAAGTCATCCTCGTTTGCCAATTTATGTAATCATTTCTTATTCTATAAATTAATCTATGAAAATTTGAACTTTTGGTCCGATTGGAAAACAATGTAGGAAAGAATTATATATGATTTAATGACCTTTAATTTAAGAGTCGTCGCGATCAAATCGGTCAACTACAACGCGAGATACGGTTAAAAACGTGAGGTCGACTTTTTAAAAAATTACCAAAATATTCATCGGACGATACCTCAAAAACGTATCCGTAGAATTACGTGTCATGTCGATTTTTGAGTTTAGGCGACCACCTTCCATAAGAATTTCATAGTGGAGTTTGGATCACCAAATGACTGTAAACTAGTGTAATTGTTCATTTTACTAATCCTACTATCTTGTTGTTGGAGATCATGCCGCGTCCACGCAACAATATCTTTAGCATTTTTAATAAAGTTCATTTATGTATATCTTCAAAATCACTACCATTTTTGACCTACCATCGTGGCGTTACCCATTAATAAGTACTCGAACAAGGATTGAATAATTGATAAATGGTTCTTTTCATGAACCATTTTATCATACTTTAATGATAAAAGAATGTCGGAAACACCTTCTATAATGAATACCACTGATATTTTTACATTAAAACGACTCCAATAATACCTCTGCCGGCTACTGACCACCGACGCCTAATCTCTTATTCCTCCTTCGCCACGAAATCCTCTTCTCCGCCGGCGACTGTCCGTTTCCATGTTTGAGAGGCGTGAAATATCGCCTCGTGATTACGGAGCGCCGCTTTGAAAGAGCCGTGAAATTTACTCTGCCAACGAATACCCTATCCCTGGATGTTTCTCTTTTCCGACCGTGCTCAACATTCCCCCACGATGATCGTTTTCTTGGAAAATAAAAGCTGGCCGAACGAATAAAGGAAAGAACCGAGTTACTATTGCACGTAGCCACGAAAGTAAAAGTCGTTCTACTCGGAACGCACGGCTGTGATCGTTGAAATAGTTCGAAGTACATACATATTCGCTGGAAACGATGAAGCACACGTGCCACTTGATTTCACAAGAATTTTATCGAATTCTTACGCTTGTTTAGACAATTAGTAAATAAGCTACAAATTTTATGTATTTATAGCGTGTCCAAATAAATTAATTAAATTAAATTATTAACAAATAAGATGCAACGTAAAAAAACGACAATTTTAACATGTCATAATGGTTTAAGTATTTATTGACATATGTGTATTACGCTTTCGGTGATTTCATCGATGTTCTTAGCCAAAACCTTAAGAAATGCATACTGAAATATTTCATATAAATTAATTATAAACAACATCTTCACCGTATAAAATGCATATTATAACCAAAAAAAGGTTTAATGTAATTGAAAAAAATAAATTCAGCACTTACAAACTTATTAATTTTTATTTTTAATTAAATTCCGTAATACCGCGTGATTTTCAGTCTTGTCCGTAGTACGGAGCTCCCAAACGTAGGTCTTCCCCATTAGATTAGATTGGCTCGTTTTCTCCCGGGAGGAGGGAGTTTCGATCCTCCCCCCCAAGGCCCATCAGTGGCTTATGAGCCGGTAGATTTCGCACAGCCCTGCAATAGGACTGCGGTGGGTATTACCCGGGGAGCTTGCTTCCCCCAGTTTTCCTTCCCGACCAACTTTTTTAGGCCCGGGTCACATGGATAGGTCTTCCCCATAACCTCACTTTTGTTAAACCAAAAGTGAAGCGCGTGTAGGTCGTTGTACATAAGTAGGTAGGACCAAATCTGTAACAACGTGAGTCCAGCTCCAAGTAAAAAACGTTTCCTCTATAATAAAGAGGAAAAAAAATTTCCCTACTTCACAAAAGCTAGGTTAGAAACGACATTCAAGACCATAGACATATATAGACGGAGCATTAACTGAGTGGGGGAGTAAGATTCGCGGCAAGGGGGTGGATAGTAGTAAATCGGGTAACTTCGTTCCTTTTCGGTGCTTTTCGGGTATACAATCACGTTACATACACGTATGCTATGAGAGATGAAAAGTTATTTTAAACTATTATACGTTAAAAATTCCGTGTGTCATGTAGTTTGTGTAGATATATGTATTTAACAAAATTAATAAATAGTATAAAGCATTAAATAATAGTACGGCACACAGCCCACCAGCCATTAACAACGAGCCGAATCGAACCGAATGCATCCGAAGCTTACCGACGTAGCTCTAACGACCGCTGCCTTTTCCCCTCCAATCCTACGGTCCCCTCGCCCAAAGTGGTAGCTTATGCTCCGTCTATACATGCCTATGTTCAAGCACCGTAATACAGGGCACCGAAACAGGGACAGGCTCCGAAACTGGGGGCACCGAAATACATCTGCAGCTACTGAAAGGGCTCCGTAATACAGACAAAAACATCTGTTTTTGTTTAAGCAAATACATTACAAAGATTTAATTTCTACTATGTAAAAAAAATTCCTTTACAGAAAGGAATTGTTTAGTAACTGATATTCATTTTCACAATATGAAATTTATGTAGCAGTATTTTTTAATAAATACTTGATTGCGCAAGCTGGCTTAAAGCCTCTGTAATTGGTACACATACCCTAGTTCTGACCAGTTCACCGTTCCCATCGATCGCTTCGGATTCGCGAAAGCGGAATAGGAATGCGAGAGAAGCTAAGCATAAGTAATCGCCCACCCGGGCGAGTAACTTGTCGTGTCGCAGATACATAAACTTAATAGCTCCATCCATTCAGCAGCGCCGATTATTGCTACGCTAGGGCGCTCGCACGCGCGCGGAACCGAGGTAAACCGAAGAGCTTATTACTCGGACGACACGCGGGCACGTTCGTCGAATTCCTTTGTGTCTCTAGATGGTCATCTTCCAGGAAGATTCGAGCATGTTCGAGTCTGGGAGATCCGCAGCGAGAAAGAGCCGCGCAACTTTTGCCATTCTCGTCCCGTTGTGGAAACAATCTTCGACGTTGCAACCGAACATTGTTGCAACTCGTGGGAATTCCATTATCCTTTCACGATGAAAAGGCCACACCGCAATAGACACCGAGAAGATAGAAGAAAATCGTCAACAAAGAAAGAGCGGCATAAGCAGAATCTCTACTGGTTCGTCTTTTTGCGTACAGAAGGGCTTATTCAAATCCTCAAGATTTTGCACGAGCGAAAAACATGATGGGATGACGTGACCAACTGAAATTATCCCACGCGAAGAATTTGTTGCGAGAACATGTAACTGTTGAAGGAAGAATCTGAATGGTGGCGAAAAGAAAAACAATTGTCGAAGGTTGCAAAGAATTTCTTCGTCACCGAGACCACAGTTGAATTACCTATTGCACCGCAATTGGGTAAAAACTGTGAAAACGATACTTTGTTCTCAATAAGGCTTTTTATGATGTGACTGAATGTTTCTGGCTAGATCTAATGGTGGCGTTTGGTAATGATTCTTCTTTGAAGGAACAACTTATTCTTCCGCTAACTTATCCATAGAATGTATTGAAAGATATCGAACTGTTTTATACTTTGTATCAATTTTCGATACCGATACTTCTTCAAGCGATACTAAACCGCTATAAGTATTGTTGCGTGAACGCGGCATGACTTCCGAATAAATAAGGACAAGATTAATAAACAGGAAGAATTATTTATTTGGAGAGGAGGAGTACTTATCTTGACACGTCTTTTCTATTCTACAGTCGTATCACGACTCTGTCTCCGTTTTAGCGTTATTACCAAAACGACGTCGCTAACCTGAAGTCTATCACTTTAACATTATACAATACGTGCCACTTATCGGGTAACACGTAACAGTATTATACCGAAATAATAGCTGTTTAACCCTCGAGAAGTGGATGCTTTTCATAATCGAATAGATAGAGGTACCTGAGGTCCAGATAAATCCTTACTTATCTGTCTTGATAAGTGTTTTCAGACGAAGTTCTCCAAAATATACAAATCTACCTATGAAATACTAACATAAACATCCGTACGCTTCATTTCGTTTCTGTAAGCTGAAGTGATTCACAAAGCTTCTAAAACCCTGGGTCAAGATGGACCTGGACACTGCCGTCCGAGAGTTAATACTTCACGAAAGTGTCAATACTGCTTGATACTTAATAATATGTGGGACTGGTAAAAATTCTTCCTGCGGTAATGATTTTCACATATCTCTTGTTCAATCAATAAAATGTAAATTCTTCCCCTAAAATATCTATATTCTGGTGAAGTGTCGAATGAGTGTTTATAATTTCTAAATGTATCAAATGGGTATCGAAACATTTGTGAAGTGTCAAACGGGTATAGATTATGTTAGATACCTACATGTTTGATATTATTCGATATGGTATCATAATTTGCAGACTAAAATCGATAATATTGATTCGGTATCATTCTGATCAGGACGTGTAGGTAGGCGTGGTTTGATGGTATATGTATCTCGCTACATCTTATGACAATTTATGTTGGTGTTTAGAAAGATGTAAAATTATGATATATTATTCATTACGTTGCCACAGAAGCGTTACAGAATTTTAAATTGTAATCTTCAATCAGAAACTACTAACGTGTACTATACAAGAATAATAAATGTCCGTGTTGTTGCAGCTCCTGATTGGATTTCAGAATTGATAAAAGAAAAATCAAAAAAGTGTTCCGCGCGTAACCAATGGCGTCGAGCGTGTCTGAACACAGATCGCGTTCCTTGCTATTAACGTCAGGACGAGACGCGCATTTTGATCGCAAGGATTAATTATAATCGCGACTGAGATCGATGAATCCGGATTTTACGTCAAATGCTGTTATTAAGCCTAACGAGGTTCTCTAAGGATCGATGGGCTCCAAGCTGGCGCTGTTCGAGACGCCGTGGTCTCCCTTATGGATACCAAATGAACTACCAAAACGACGTACAGTGGTCCAGAACGCCGATTTAGGAGTTCAGAAGCTTAATTTGGGTGTAAAAATAGGAATATCAAAATCAAACTTGGTAAGCATATATTTAATGTTCCTCTTTCTTAAAAAAATAAAAAATTAATAAGTAATGTTTGTTAATAATAACTTTTTTATAAACAAAATAAAAACAAACTTTTTTTAACAGATTTATCATTGTCAATTACAAATTCTCGTATATAATTCTCGAAAATTAATGGACTTCTTTCAAAATTTCTCTTCTGGATAATGAAATTGCGGATATTAAACAATCAGGGAATGCTAGTAATGTATGGAACAAATCAGTAATTGGTTTAGTTCAGGACAATTTTTTATAAATCTGTATGAACATTAGATGTATTCACCGTGTTCCACATAGCTTTAAAATTCGAAATTATGTTGAAAAAAAAAAGTTTATTTGCAAAGGTTTTGCAGAACTGAGGTTTAGCGGTAAATAACTATTGATGCCGGCTATTGCCGGATTTTAAGAATACGGTATTGAAGAGAGAAACGTTTCGACTGCACGGTGGATCGTTATCAGCCTCAACTGGCCTTTGAAAACGTGGTGCACCTTTGACATCGAAATTACCAGAATAGAATTTCGAAAACCACTTTTGACATTAGCGTTCAGTCAACACATCCTCTCCAAACAAGGTACACAATTTTTACCTTTACGGTCAAAGAAGGAAAATGCTGAAAATGCTTACTTTGGTTTTCCATTCTTGATGCAACAACAAACAAAAACGTCTTGACAATTTCAAAAACAATTTTTTTTAAACTGATAGTTGAAATGTCAGTTATCAAAATATATAATGATTTTATAGGTTAGAATGAAGTTGTATTCTTAATGATACCATTACATCTAACTCAAAAACGAAATTACTTTCCCAACAACCCAATAGTTTAATGAGTAATGTTCGACACACCACAAGAGTGTCCATCAAAGCCGGAAACCAGGGCAAAAATAGTATGTCGTCTTTGATGGGGAACTATCCTAGTAGCAATTATTGTTGGCATTTGGATGGGCCTTTGATACAGTTTTGTAGGGCCCACGTCACTATAATACGAAGGGCCAACTTGAGATTTCTTTCTGCAGGGCAAATTGTTAAGTATCTACAATAAACCACTAATAGAAAGACAATTGGCTATACTACACTTCCATGAAATCCTTTCAAAATATTTGAAGGAGTAAAGACTGGAAATAATATTTATAATAATTACTTGTTATAATAATTATATACATGTATAAATTGTATATACAGTATAGTGCTTCATAGCAGCGGCTATTATTTTATAACAAAACTCCAATTTAGCTATTCAACCTCCCGTAAAAATGTACGCGTTTATTTCTTGGCCTTTTCATTTCAATAGCGTACATTTTTAATCTTTTCGACACCCTACAGTAGACGAAGGTTCCAACATTTGGGCAGCAGTCGGTCCCGGTCGTGTCGTACCACCGAGGCGAAGAACAACATCGCCATAAACTTGTACCGTTGGGTGACTCCCGCAACCTCGGCGTGGTCAAGCCAAACTTGGTCACGTGATTTTAATTATTTGCAGGGGTACGTTTTTTCCTAAAGGAACCTTTACCTCCACCACGGACTTCGGAAAATCCAAGGTTTATTCCTACACCTTCTGAGTTGAGCCAATAGGAATTCGTAATTTGCGAAAACGGTATTAACAAAGCATATCGCCAACGAGGGTGAAGCGCGACGTCAGAAGCGCACCTAAACATTTTGTAAATATCAGACTCAAACCAGAACTCATCCGGTGAACATCACACACACACACGTACACAAACACACATTTTTGTAAATACAATCATTAACCTGTTAACCGGGTAGGACGA